AATGCAGTATAAAAATTGTATGTTTTTATATTTATAAATTTTTATATTTTATTATTATATAAATTTTATATAAAAATATTATATAATTTTTTACATATATATTATATTTATATAAATATTATATTATATAAATATTATATATTATATTATATTTATATATATTATATAAATGAAAATAGAATAAGCAAAAAAATAACATGTTGGGTAAAATTAATTTTCAATGAACTGTAACATAACTCTGTAAACTAACTTGTAACTAATAAACTGTAACTGAACTGTTAATATCAATAGTATTACATCAGTACTACATTAAATATAAATTTGATATGGAACGAATTTTATCACTTAAATTATTAAATATTTTTACATTGATTTAAATTCGGTAATTATATAGTAATATTATATAATTGTATATAAATACACTGTATACTCATATATTATATTATATTATATTTTGTTAAAATTACTCAAGTATTCTTTGTGTTTGTCATTATAAATGAATGAATTTTGTCTAGTGAAGTGAACTACAAATAATATCCCCTTCTCTCATTCTGGGATTTCCTTTTCCACAATGCATACATGTGAAATGAGTTTGGCCTATCTTAGAAGGCATCATAATTAAGTTGCCTTGTACCTTTTGGAACAGGCTTTGCGTGGGGGGCGCCTTATGACGCCTTAACATGCTGCCTATGGAGGCAGCTCACTAGATTTTGGAATTGAGCATCTCTCTCTCCACGCATCTTTTTTTTGTGTGTTTGTGTGTGTGTGTAAATATGTGTGTGTGCGCGCACACAGGTACGAGAAAGCGGGATTGATTGCCTCTGGCTGACATCCGAACACTACACCTTAAACGCAACTGCAGGCTTTTAATCATTGATAGGCTTTTGCTTGTGAAACTGCTGATTCACACTATGCTATTTCAAACCTTGTATTTAAGCCTTTATTTTACATATATGCAATATGTGTGTGTTTTGTACATGATGTGACACCGCAGGAGAGTGTGTTGGGATGGAGAATGTTAGTGCATCTGCCCGTACAAATGCATGCGCTCCACAGGGAGCATCTATGAGAGAATCATAAAAGACGGACAAAAGAATTGATTTCCTTCAAAACCTTTCATTTTTATTTCTATATAAGAACTGCTGGAAAATGGAATGTATCAGTCTGTATACTTGCATGTTTTCTTTTGATTGAAACTTTTGATAAAATAGTCTCTGATGCTGTACTGTCAAGTTCATCCTTCTTATTTATCAATTTTACATTTTGTAAAATGAGTGCATTCTGCATTTCTCAAACCCAAAAAATGAAAATGCAGTCATTTATTCGCCCTCATGTCATATCCTACAGCCAATATTTGTGTAAGGCAGATTGTAGAGCTGCTTTCTGGAGTGCAGTTCACTCCTTCACCAGTTGACATGCTCTAATTATGCAGTGTGAATGAGAAGCTTTGAGTACACTACTTATTTTCGGTGAACTGTCCAGCTGTCTGTATAATTATCCTTATAACTTACATTCCGACCCTTTTGTTCTCTATTTAACTGTCTTTTACTATTTTTACACACTGATTATTTAACTGAGTTGCATGCAAGTGTGAACTGGTTGCTTGTTGTATGCTAGTCTCAGCTTCAGGCCAATGAACCATTGACTGACCATCTGGTCGCATACAAAAACACAATGCTTCATTCTGATTGGCTGTGTAGACTCAATTTCTGGGAGTCAGGGTACACAGATATCAGATCAGTTCACAGAATAGGAGCAGTAGTTGAAAAATATACTGTATGTCCATGCGTCATATGTGTTAGAATTAAAATCTGAACACACGTATATTAGCAGCATAATATAATTCATGAGTCAGGTGCTTTTACAGCCAATGATCCAAAAAGTACAAGGAATGTTACATGTTTTTAATTGAATGTGTATTATTAATTTATGATATATTTTAATGAAATAATTAGTTTATTGAGATATAACAAATTATTATTATTATTATTATTATTATTATAAATAAACAGGATCCAGCTGTTCATATGTTTTAGAAATAATAATAATAATAATGATAATAATAGTAATTATTTTGTTATTATTATTGTTGTTATTATTGACCATAAATAAACAATTAATATAAACAGTCTCAATTTGTCCATATATTTTATTATTATATTTGTCTTAAATAAATAATTAAAATAAAGATTATCACGTATCCATATGCTTTAGAAATCATTGTAATAATTATAATAATTATTATTATTACTGGGAGTTTAAATAGAAAAAAATGTATGGATGGATTATTATTATAATTGATTTATTTTGTATTTTTAATGGGATATGTATTATTAATTTAAGATATATTTTATTAAATAATTTGTTCATTGAGATATAACAATATGATTGTTACTATTATTATTATTATTATTATATTGGTCATAAAGAAACTATTTGAAAAAACACTTGTCCATATATTTTAGAAATAATATGTATAACTATAATTATTATTATTATTATTTGGACAAATTAATTTAATTGTTATTTAAGTGGAATGCTTCCAAGATTCTAATGCTTAAAAGTACATTAAAAGCAAGATTTTGCCTTGGATGTCTCTAAAAAAATTATTTGCATTCACATAGTTTGTACATTTGTAAAATTTGAAAATACAGATTTATTTTTATTTGTATTGTATGTATTTGTTTGTATAACTGTGCATTGGCCTGTCCATTAGTGAGATGTTTTGATACTATTTTAACTTCATAATAGTGAAATAGAGGCCTGCGGATGGTCTCACTTTTTCTCACTGTGCCGTGAACCGACCTGCACTAAACCGAGTTTCCCTGTAAGCACCACGGACAGCTCCAGAGCACACTGTGTGAAAGTTCAGTCCTGCCTCTAATGCTGCTGCTATCCACTGCTGCAGCTGCACACAACACAATGCAGCCTCTCACAGACTACATGCTCTAGTGTGTGCCTAAATCTTCATTTACAAACCGCTTCAATGCAGTTCCTGCCCGCTTGTTTTTACTTCCCCGCTCAACTTTGCATGTGTAATGTGTGCTCTCTTGAGTTTGTTGTGACCACTCTTTCATCTGCAATGTTTTTTTTAAATACGTCCTCTGTCTCTTATCTTATCCTGGTCCACTCTCTCTCTCTTCTCTCTGGAGATTAGGGAATAACACAGCACATATTCCCCCTGCTCGCTCATGCTCCCTCCCCCACTGATAGGATCTCTGGAGGATGGAGTGGATTAATGACCTCGCTGGAGAGGGCCAGATCTCTCCAAATCACCCCACAGAGCTGCACACACCCCTCATCATGAGTGTGTGTGTGTGTGTGTGTGTGTGATTTACAGTAGCACATATGCTTATTTCCACTGTATATGTGCTCAACTCATCACTAGTCGCACTGTGTTGCATTTAATTCAACCCGCTGAAAGACAGACCTGTTCAGCCATGAATTGAAACTGATCTACACAGAGACATCGTTGTCTTCCTTGTTAATTATATACACCAGTCTCCTGCTGTGTATTTCTTTCTCTCCGCAGCAGTTTCCACTCTTCCTGTGACAATATTTAACAGACCTCCAGTTCTCCCAGCGGAGAGCATGTCCCCCTCCCTCCGCTCAGACTGCAGGCTTCAGCGGGCCCGTATACCACTGTGAAAGGAAACATATGGACAGAAAACACACTAGAGACAGAAACTGAATATCTTAGTGATTTGGGGTGGCAACAGCCTAAGCCCAGAGTATACTTTGGCCGTCCACGCACTGTCCGCGTGAGGTCATTTTCGTCATCAGAAGGACGCACACCGCCCGCGTGCTGCCCAATTTTTGTGTCCATGCTTACGCCACATATGAGAGTGATTTGAGTCCACTAGTTAGTGCGCATGCACCAAACACATCTCTGCACATCCACTGCCAAGAAGTATACTCTAAAAAGGCTTTTTTGAAAGCACAAAGAACACCCTAGCAACCATGTAACAATGAACTGCATAGCAACCATCCACAACATCCTACATCCAACTTGATTTTTCTTCAAAAACATTTAATAATGTGGCATTTTTTCTTTCTTGTAACACTTTACAGTAATGTTCAGTTTGTCCTAACAATGAAGAATAACAATATTTTACAGTATTTATTAACCTTTTAACAGCAAAAGTTTAAAATTGTGTAAAGTTAAAAAAAAATGTTTTTTTATGGTTTTGAAGGAAGTCTATTCTGCTCACCTAAGGCTGTTTGTTTGAAATACAGTAAAACAGTATTATTCTCAAATAATAAAAATCCATCTGAATATATTTTAAAATGTAATTTATTCCTGCCTTCAGTGTCACTTTATCCTTTCGCTGCTCAAGAAACCTTTGTGCTGCCTAATATTTTGTGGAACCATAGAATTCTTTGATAATACAAAGTTAAAAAGAACACCATTTTTTTGTCTTTTGTCTTTTTGTAATTTTTTTTTTTTACAGTCACTCTTGATCAATTTAACAAATGTTTTCTGAATAAAAGTATTCACTTAGATTTTTTTTTTAAATCTTACCGATCCCAAATGTTTGAATGGTAGTGTGGGTTGATGTTAAAGTTCTGTCATGAAACTCTAGATATCGCAACAGACTAATAGGTCATTAACTCAATCTGCTTGCAATCACATCATTCTCTATAGAATGCACTTCTGATTGGTTCCTGCTGTATCAGCAGCCAATGAGCTTGCTGCTCGACTTTGAGATACTTGGTCAGTGTCTGCGTAGCAGTTTGCAGCACGCTTTCAGAAACCCTCCACCTTCCCCAACTCCACCTGTATAGATCTGCTACGGGTAATTCATTCATGTTTTCTATTGTGTATATTGGTGGTTACAAGTCTTGTACTTGCTCTGCAGCAGCAGCAGCGTAGCAGATCTATCCCTCTGAGACCAAACATATCCATTTCCATGCCTAACAAAATTCATTGTTAGTCCAAAATACCTAATGCATTAATTAACAATAATGTATTTCTTAATTTCTTTCGTCTCTCTTTGCAGCCAAAAAAGCAGCTGATGGTTCTGTCATCCCAAACGGCTACTGTGACTTCTGTCTAGGAGGCTCCAAGAAAACAGGCTGTCCTGAAGATCTAATTTCCTGTGCGGACTGCGGCCGGTCAGGTGCGACCTAACCCATGTAAGCTCAGCTCGGAAATGGGGACTTATTAATTTCTTTACATATTACCTTCTTTTGGGTTGTTGCAGGTCATCCGTCGTGTCTGCAGTTCACCGTCAACATGACGGCGGCGGTGAGGACCTACCGCTGGCAGTGCATCGAGTGCAAATCATGCAGCCTGTGTGGGACATCAGAGAACGATGTAAGTCAACTGAACGAAGCAACTTTCTTTTCCAGTGCAATCTTTGTTGTGTTTGAGAACTGTTTTATCCAAGCCCCCGGCGCTAGTGTTTGGGGACATGTGCATACAAGGATCAACTTGCATTATTTTTACAGGATCAGCTTTTATTCTGTGATGATTGTGACAGAGGGTATCATATGTATTGTCTAAGCCCCCCTATGTCGGAGCCTCCGGAGGGTATGTGCTATGTGTTTTACATTTAGGTGTTTTAAGTGCACTGCAAAAAAAATACATAAATAATAATAATTTTATTAAAAAAATAATATTTTGTATTTTATTTTATAAATATATAAGAATATATATATATATATATATAAGTATATATTAAGCATACACAAATATAATAAAAATCTATTTACATATTTTTATTTTAAATAATATCAAATCATTTAACTTGCCACTTAAAAGTGTTATTTCAAACTTTTTCCAAATATTAATATTTAGTATATATTTTTGTTCAGATTTTTTTTCTAGGTTTAAGCACTTTACTCTTGCATATTTTGTTACACAAGTTTGTTGAGTGGAAAGTAACCTCGTATTTTGCACAAAAGCTACTTTTCAGGAAATGAAAAACAAAACAAACAAAAAAACACTACTTTCTAAATAATTAAACACTGTTTTGCCAAAGTTGATATTGTGACTTTATATATGGTCAAGACACTTGTGTTATTATATTATTAACATTTGACCAAAATCGAGGTCAAATGGAGTTACAAGGTTTTTGACCAGCAATTTTTTGAGAATTTTGGACATGTATGTGTTTTGTCCACCATTAGTGGACAAAGTGCTGCATTACATTACATTTTCATCAATTTACCAGTTATAAAGTTAACTGCTGTGTGAGCGCTCAGTTTCTTCTGTCATTCGGCCAAAATCTCATGTTTTACTCATCAATCTCATTGATGAGTACTTCGCAGTCGCACAAGCTATTTAAGACAGTATTAGCTATGAATTGATCAAATGCTAGACTAAGACACTCTTCTCCACTGCATTGCAAACAAGCAGAGACAGTCCAAACTCTCATTGGCACTTCATTCACAATGTGTGTGTACTTATGAGGCTTCATCAACAGTTTGAGGATTCAATGATCCAATATTTGCAAAACCCACAGACATCCGTAAAGTGTGACCAATAGTAATGATTTATGAAAAAAATCTCATCTACTCTCAAAAAAACATGAATAAATACTGATAAACAATAATTTTTTGCAGTGTACAAGAACCAGTACTTAAAAGTGCTATGTCTAACTTTGGCCAAATATTACACGCTGCAATTTAAACCAACATTTGTGTCTCTTCCTTTGCAGGGAGCTGGAGTTGCCATCTGTGTCTGCGCCAGCTAAAGGAAAAAGCGTCCGCCTACATCACACTAACCTAATCTCCGTGCCCTACTTCACCCTAGCAGTCTCATCCTACTCTATCCCATCATCACAGATCCAAAGAGACTCCCCCAACATCCACCAGAAGAGAACAACTTTCATCTGCCCATTGCCTGTGTGGTGACAGCAAGGAAAACGTAGGGTGCGACTAACATTTTGTATGTCAACTGGGACTCAAGCAGACCTTTCCTCGTCAGTCCCTCCAAAGAGTTCTTTCCTTCAATGATCAGAGAGGTCTTCTTCTTGTCTGACTCCATCTTATGGTGGCTAGACAAGTAGTGCCAAACGGTTTGTCGCTGAGGAGACATTTTGCACAAATCTGAGGTAGGGCATGCATGTCAGTGGGAGGAGTCTCTGTGACATCATTAGAGGACGCACCAACTGCAGATGGGACGAGTGCCACTTGATCTCACCGCAGCTTTTGGTGAGAGATGGTATCAACGTGCCATTGATTTTATTTTATTTTTTGCGGTATATTCTTCAGGAGCAGACACCAGCACATAATGAGATCATGTTTAGTCATTAAATTTGGCCTTATTCTAGCTGTAATTAGACTTCTGTTGTAGAGATGAATGAATTCTTCAATAATTAATATCCCTTGAGGATACAACTTTTGGTTCTTGCAACACATTACAAAAAAGGTGATATATCATGAACATAGTCTGTGTTAAAAGGAATATTGCAGGTTCAATGCACGCACTTGTAGAATAAAGTTGATAACCACAAAACATACTTAATTTTTTACAGTGAAGTAGTCAATTGCGGGATCCACGGGACCTAACACAAAGAGACATAAAAGGGATAATTAGTTACTCAATTTTTTTTATTTTTTTAAATTTTTAATTTACAGACTGTTTGTTTTATTTGTCTATTGCACACACACACACAAAATCAACAATTTATAGATGCAGAGTTTGATATTCTCATCTATTTTTCGATTGTATGCGACAATGAACTAATGAAACACCGTAGAGCAAAATCCTTTTGCCTGCTGCGACAAATGCCAATATGCAACTTGAGTCTGGCACCTGAGATCTGAAGCAGAGAATTGGTGGGAATTGAAAAAAAAAAATGTCTATGACACTGGACTGAGACTGACAAATCTGTCCAGACCTCATCCTGCAGGCTTTAAAAACAAAATCTTTAAAAACAAAGATCGGTGCGGGACAAAACGTGAAAGTTGCCTGTGTGAGGAACGCGATTGAAAAATCTATTCCTCACACTTACAATGGAAATGAATGGGGCCAACCCGTAAACACTAAAATTACTCATTATTTCAGATATATAACCACAAGATGCAAAAATAATGTGTGTTAACGTGATTTTAGTGTGAAAAAAAGACACTTGCTGACCCTTTCTGTGTAAAGTTATCCAATTTAGTAACTTTGTTGCCATGACAATGTTAAGCAAACAATAAAACAACCATAAGAAATATGTAAACAACACAAGTTTCTACAGAAAGTTAATGTGAGTGCTTTTATAAAATGATAAACTTCACATTTCTGCTTTTAAATCCTCTAAAATAGGCCCCATTGACTTCCATTTTAAGCGCTTCGCCGTTACCGCAATTTTTTTTTTTCTCTTTTTTTAAAGTGTTAGATCACGCAAAAATGAAAATGATGTCATTAATGACTCGCCCTCATGTCGTTCCAAGCCCGTAAGACCTCCGTTCATCTTCGGAACACATTTTAAGATATTTTTCGATTTAGTCCGAGAGCTTTCTGTCCCTCCATACTGTCCTTAAAGATATAAAGACATCATTAAAGTAGTCCATGTGACACCAGTGGGTTAGTTAGGATGTTTTGAAGCATCGAAAATACATTTTGGTCCAAAAATAACTATTAAACATTGTATTCTCTTCCGGTTCTGCGTTCACGAGTCCGCAGTGACGCGTGGTGGCGTTTTCATTTTTGGGTGAACTAACCCTCAAGTAGATTTTTTTTCTTTCTTTTTTGTGGCAATCAACATTATACCACAAATGCTGCTGAACTTGTATTGAATCTGTAAAATTCTGGAATATCAAGTCTTTTGCCCAAGGGAAGTGCTGCAAACAGTTTTCATGCATAGAAACCAAGATCCCTTTATCAAGAAAGTCCGAGGTGCATGTCTTTCAACCAGAGCCAAACTTGCTCTGTGTGAAAAAAGAAAAGAAAGAAAAGTAGATTTCGAAAATCAGCTGATCAATTCCGTACTTCCGACATGATCCCCACCTCCTCTTCCTATTCTCAACAAGCCAACATAAAACTCCCTCTCAGCCAGGGTACGTTTATAAGAGTGTATATTTATCGAGGAACGTCTGTCCTTGTTTCAAAAACAGGGCGTTAAACGGTTGATTGTTGTCTTTTTTATGATGACTTGCTTGCATGTTGTAATAGTATCGTTTTTAAATAATTTAAGGACAAAAAATCGAAGAAAGCACACTTATTCTGCAATAATGTTTTTGTGTTTGTGACCCTCTCTGGGGAAGTTGCGTCGGTATGTATGTGCGCTTTTAAAACTCTCGTGGAACTTCGAAACCGTAAACGTCAGAATGCGGAAATGGGCGGAGACCACATTTAAAAAGGGGGAGGGGCTTGTGAAATTCTGACGTTGTTCGGGTGCCACCGCAAACTCTCCATTTTGATTTCCTGGACAAACCGAAGACCAGCTTTGGAGACTCCTTTCCATCCCCCCTCCCCCAGTCTCTTTGGAGGGGCATTTTTCCTTTTTGTGACAAGAAAACATTGTGCGCCTCTTTTGTAGAATGAGCTCTTTACTATCTGTAAGTCTGCTTTGTGTTCTGAGACTTGCTACTGCAGCCTGCTTAAAAGAAGAAAAAATGTCAAGCTAAATCCAGAGGAGTGTTATGGGGACGGCAGCATGTGTGCGTGTGTGCGATTGTGCTGAGGTGACTGTTTTAAACCCAAAGTCCCCTCTTATCCGTGGCCTAACTGAAAAGACTGCCTGCCATTTTCTCCACAGCACCGAGTCCTTGAGCTTTAAGTTGCGAGACGTTTGCTGTAAATAGATAAGTGCTCTGTCTTTCCAGAATCAGTCCATGTTATAGACTCAAGTGAAAATGTCTTATGTGCTGTAATTCATCGAAATGTGAAAGCAGCCTTTTCTACGCTGTCAGTGAAATATTAATCCATGTTATTGGGTTATTTCTATTTTTGTATAATTTTCCAATTTATGGTTTTAATGAGCACTACACCACTGGTAACTCTAACTCCATATGTGTAAATCTTTTCGATTCTTTTTAAAAGAGTTGTAGAAATGTTTAGTCTTCAGTAGAAATAGTCTTGATTTCACATTTTGATATATCGACCTCTTTGTTCAGCCAACCCCTTGTTGTTCTTTTTTTTTTACTTTATGACTATTTTGCACACACTGTAAAAATAAAAGCGCTTTATCTAATCAAAAATATTGTGGCAACAGATTAGCGATATTATGAATTCACTTTAACAATAGAATTGAGTAATAATGAATCAAATGAATTCCTTAAAAGTTAACCATTTAAAATGAGTAAAATGTACCAAAAAATAAGTACATTTAAGTCACCATTATGGTGATTGGTGTTTGTTTTAGGTTTGTTTTAAAATGATGGGTTTTCTCCTTCAGTGATTCTGCTTGTTAACATCAGGTGTCTTCAATGTTGGCAATTTAAAATTAAGAGTTCTTAATTAATCTTTGACTTGATCTGTCTGTTATTTAGATATTTTAGTTAATTTTTTTGGTGTAAACTTTACTCATTTTAAATGGTTAACTTTTAAGGTATAATTTGATTAATTATTACTCAATTCTAATTTGTTGAATTTAATTAATAATATTCACTCTTAGAAGAAATGGTTCTATTTAGAACCAGAAATGGTTCCATCCCCCGCTTCATATATGGAACTCCAAAATGGTTCTATATAGAACCATTTTTTTTTTGGTAAAAGGTTCTATTGGCCAAGTATGGAACCCCAGGGTTCTATATAGAACCCAGAGGAACCCTTTTTATAGAACCTTTTACCAAACAAATGGTTCTATACGTATAGCGCTGATAGAACCTTTTAAGGTTCTATATAGAACCTTTTCTTCTAAGAGTGTTGTTTGTAATCTGTTGCCACAATTTTATTGCTTAGATAAAGCATGTTCATTTTTACAGAGCAGTCTGTGTGATTTTTATTTATTTATTTTTTTGGGACGAGGGCACTGTTAGAGCGTTTTAATTAAAGCAATTACACCAGAGACAAAATTATAGACGCATGTTCTGACATTGATAACAGACAAAAATTACACATGGAATGTGTTGATTCTTTCCCTCTCGGTTCCTGAAGCCAAAACACTGTGGCTTTGTGGCGTTTTCAAAACATTGTTTGTTTGAGCGGCCTGGCATAGCAACACTGGCTCAACCAATAGCAAGCGTTTGGAGGTGGAGTTATCTGTCTGTGTGACCAATAGCTGTTAGAAGGGCTGGTAGGAGTGTTTTGAAAACCTTTTTATAATGTTTTCAGTAGTGAAATGACACAAATCACTTTTAACAGTATTAAGAGGGGGGAATATATTCTGATTTTGTCTGCCTTGGTGAGATTTTTGGTTAGAAACTAACCTTCTGTAGTATTTTCTAGAACTACAAACGATTGTCAAGCTGTTTTCATGTCCCCCAAAGTTTGAAAGAGGGGCCGTGATTGGTTTGTATGAAGATATTTTGTTAGTTCACAGGCCTTTATTGACGAGGGGCGGAGTCATAATGATGTGATTGTATTCTTAGTAATGTGAGAGTATGAGTGGCATTATGTGGGAGGATGGTTAAGGGGTAGCCTACACAAGGCTTAACCAGATTGTTAAAATGGAAAGCAGCTACATTTCAACATGGACCACCGTGTCCTCTGTCCTGCTTGGGTTGAGATCTGTGCTCTATTTGTCTTTAATCTGTCTCGCTGATTTCACAGGGTCTTCTCTACCTGTATATTGTTGTGCTGTGATCTTCGCTTGCAGTTTTTTTTTATTCCCCCCACAAACACCCACACACAAATACTCTTGTGCGAGAGGATGCGTGAGTGTTTTACTTTCTTGTAACTGTCCATAGAAAAATAAAACAGCCGTATGGAGAAAAGAAGCGTGTTCTGACTCAGGACTGAGTTGTACATTTGTTTTCATTGAACTTGAAATGGGTGCTCCTCATGGAACTGAGCATCTCCGATGACTGCTGCTCAGTGATCAACTTTAAAGAATGTCCTTTCTTTTATTTCTGTCCATTTTGACAAGCAGGAAATAAAAAAAAAATTGTACCATTATCCGATTTTGTCTTCTGTGATGTTTTCAGCGGAGCAGCGCTGAAATATAGAATTCAAAGGAATAATTCACCCAATAATTTACTCACCTTCAAGCCGTCTTAGGTGTATCTGACTTTCTTCTTTCAACCAAACACAATCAGAGATATAATAAATAATATCCTGGCTTTTCCCAGCTTTGAAAAAATGGCATTGAGTTCCCAAATTTTTGAAGCTTCAAAAATCCATCCATTATAAAAGTAACCGATATGACTCAGTGGGTTACTAAATGCCTTCTGAAGCGAAGCGATGGGTTTTTGTAAGAAAAATATCCATATTTAAAACTTTATACACTATAATGTAACATGGTTTTCGTGAGAGGCGTCTATTTTCACATAAGCTTACGATTTGCCCGTGTGTCAAGTCAAACGCTGGAACTCAACTCTTGTGAACGCACATACGGTTGTTAAATATGAATATTTTTCGTATACATTTAGAAGTGCTTTAGAAGGCATTTATTAACCCACTTGAGTCATATGGATTACTTTTATGATGGATGGATGTGCTTTTTGGAGCTTCAAAAATTCAGACTCCATTCAATGTCATTACAAAGCTGGGAAGAGCCAGGATATTATTTAATATAACTCAGACTGTGTTCGGAAAATCATTTACACTAGGATGGCTTGAGGGTGAGTAAATTATGAGAAAATTTTAATTTTTGGGTGAACTATCCCTTTAAAGTAGGAAACAGATGTTATGATAGTCTTTTCCCCCCAATTGTGATATTAATATGAGTGAAATGGCTTTTGAACAAGAAAAGCAAATGTAGGGTGGGACTTGATTTTCGTTTGAGATGGTTGTGGTTTGCTATTGGTCGATCTCATGTGAGTGACAGGTTGCCCCGCCCTCATGCCAGTATACACGTCATTAAAGAAGAGAAGAGAAGAGAAGAGAAGAGAAGAGAAGAGAAGAGAAATAATGTACGTAGAAAAATCTTTTGTGACCCTGGACCACAAAACCGTCACACGAGTCATTTTTTTATTTATTTAAGATGTATACATCATCTGAAATCTG